TGTTTATTATCCACTTCTACAGCTTCTGCTCTTTGACTGTAATACTCATGTCTTAAAATGATTTCCACTATATTCTGAAATATAGGTAGCACAGAATCATCCACTCCTCGTGGTGATTATTTGACCCTTTTTTTGGTTTGTGTGTGTCTTTTTTAGGGTTTCAAAGGAGGAAGAGCACAATAAGATGTCACCAAGCTCTCTTTCTATTGTGTTTGCCCCCTGCATCCTGCGTTCACCTGATGTTGATGACCCCTTCCTTGGTATGAAGGATGTGTCAAAGACTACAATGTGAGTCATACAGCACGCTTTCATAACTTTTCTTGCATAATGAAAAAATCATAATACAGTACTGTAGTGTACTATACTGTATGTATTTCTAGAGATGAACATTGTTGTTGACTGTGTTACGTGCAGGTGTGTGGAGATCCTGATCACTGAGCAGCTGAGACGATACAATGAGAAGATGCAGAATATCCAGAAGCTGGAATATGCAGAGGCCCTGGCTGTCAATCAGCTCAAACTGAGGAGACAAAACACGGTATTAAATTCACTCTCAAGCACTTTCTTGATTATCTACATCTGCCAGCAGTTATCGTTTAACTTACTATGAATCTGAGGAAAGTAACGTTCAGAAAATTATTTTAATTATTTTTAAAATTATTATTATTAATCCAAACATTAATACCTGGCAGTAGTCTAGCATAAGCCAGAGTTAATGCACAGTTTAAACAAAGAAAAGCTCCAACTTTTATGCATCTAAATGACACTGTAGAAAGTAGATTACATTAGTTGAATAGTAGTTAATTTTTGGAATGAAGTTGGAATAACATCTGATTTGGGGCCAGTTTGTTTTTATTTACCCACTGACAGCCAACCGCTACTCTGATCTCTGCAGATTGTTGAAAAGCCCTCAGAGCTGGACATTCCAGAGCCAATGCATACGGATGAAACAGAGAGGACCCTCATCGATAGGATCAAATCCATCAAGCAAGAAAAGTGAGCTGAGATTTTTTTTTTTTCATTACAGCTAAATGCACCGTTTAAATGAGTTTGAATAATGATATCTTGTTTTGTTTATTTCAGGGTGGACTTGGCCTGCAGGTTACCCGACCTGGAGCAGGAGAATTCTGACAATGAAATCCTTGACGACTCGTCGTCGATAAGTTCAGAGAGCCTAGATGAGCGCCTGGGGAGCATAGATTCGGAAGGTCAGTAGGGAGGTAAGGTACCTTCACCTTCCTCTGGGGTTTAACAAGACAACTCACTCATAAACTTCATGTGTTTTTTTTTTTTGTTGCATGCCCCCACAATGGCAAATGGTAAATTGAATAATATCTCCTCATGATAGAAGATAAGAAACCAACGATGACCAAAACATCATAGTCAAGGGTTCAGTATGCTTCAGACATACTGTCCAACATGTCATTCAACCTTGTCCAAAGGCAAAAGTATATGAATGGCCAGACTCTAAGCCTGCTTTCAGCTTTCATAGTTGTCAAAAAACTATGATCCAGGAAGCCCGGTTCAAAACTGTGTAAAGTTTTCATGGTGGCAATTATTTCATCTCTTATAATAATGATTATGAGGTTAACCGTAGAAACACGCCGTTAGAAAGTAACCTATGTGCCAGGAATGTGTGCTTGATTGGTCATCGCAGCATCGTGTCGGATGGCAATGTGTACAAAATGCTTCGTTTAGAGCATACTGGCACCTTAGACTATTCAACAAGCACTTTATTTGAGGCCCTTACAAAGGAGTTACAGCATAAATGATCTAATTAGATGTTAAGCATCGAAGCTACTCTAGCTACATATCCTCTTCAACCCTACAGGCATGTGCCGTCATGAGAATACCAGCTTCTTTTTATATCTTATTCATCTTCTGTTTATTGTTTCCTTTAGTAAGCTACAATATCAAACCAATGCAGGAACTTAGGGTTGAAAGTAAGTGTGTACTAAAATTTCATAGCAGATATTTTTACTAGTCTTATTTTTCTATTTCCAGGAAAGGTGACCATGCGATTGAAAACCCAGAAACCCAACTGTCCGCCTAAACCTCCTGACCTGGGGCAGAGAGTCAGAAGTTTAATGGCTCAGACAGATGACGGACAGAGAGAGTTCGCACTAGGACAAAAGACAGATGCTACCCAGTCCATGTGCTTCCTTCCCAGTGAAGACTACTCCCCCCCAACCGACAAGCCCCAAATCACCAGTAAGACTTTAAGCGGGAGCTTCGACGATCTGGACATCCCTTACATTGATGAGGATGACGATCTACCTGCAGCATAAACGCCAGTTGTAATAACTGCAATATTCTCAGATATGTGTTAATAGAAGACAAAAAAGTAACTGTGCACTTTGTTTTATGGACATTTCCATTTGTCGCTGCTGCTATGGAAACAAAGTGATTTGAGAATTTATATATATATTTAAAGGGAGATCATACATGGGACAGTCTATTCAGGGTTTTTATAACAAATCAGGAGAAAGACCCAACAGCCAGGACTGCTCAGGCTCTTTATACCACTACACTGTATGCAATTTTAAACATATTTCAGAATTGTACAGTACACGTTTTATAAAAGGTAGGTATTTTGGGACCAGTTCTGTGAAGCTGTGTTTCATCTGTAGAGAAAAACAGGACATGATGAGGAGCAACAAGGGCCTCTTTTACTAATGGACATTATTCTGAGCTCAATTACTGTGGTACTAATGGGAGTTTATCATGTTTTGTGGGGGGGGGGGGACAGAGTGTCTTATATTTGTACCAGAAAGTTCCGTAAGATTGTACATAGTGACATTGTATTTTGGGCTCTCGTTGAGTGTATTGTTTTGTATCTGAAATGTTTCAGTTGTGTTTTTCTGCTTTTCGTTTTGCTCTGTTATATAAGTGTTGTGACTGAGCACTGATGGTCATATTGCTGCCTTTTTAGACTGACTGAAATACTTTCCTCTGTCACTTTTCTTGGTACTGCAAAGCCGTGCCGTTTCACCAAGTAACAACATTTTGTCTATACGTGTAGGTTTTTAAAAAAAAATATGCATGCCTGTACATTTTATAAGGGGTAGGAATAATGCATATCCTCTGAGTTTGACCTTTGTCACCAACAGAAATAAACTGACCGTTTTCAGATGTCTCCTGCTGTAATACAAATGATTAGAGCCAATAATGCAGCATTGAAGTGTCTTAACAGTATATGGCATATTATAGTTTAAAAAAAAAAGACCTAGACAAAAAATACTACACATGATAGAGAAAGCTTATGGAAGAATGCAGCTAATAAAAAAAATAAAGAACATAAACCATCATTTGAATAGATGTATCTCTCAGTTATTTTAGAAAAGGCCAGGTTTTATATTAGTATTTTGAATGCTGATGATTACATCGGTTCTATTATTGATGCTACACTTTTGGACAAGCAGGGGAGATTTAATAACAAAACATAATAATCCTAATATTTATTTTGAATAACTCATTAGATATCACTATATATATAATATATATATAAATATCACATCTGGGATCACCGTCAACTTCTTTACTGTTATATGTGAGGACAGTTCATGAGGGCAGTTTTAAAGAGAAAAAGATACTCTTATGTGTCAATGAGATTATAAATTAAAATAATACTTATAGCAGATCATTCTGGGCAAAATGTTGATTTTCTACTGACATGTTATTCTGAAGAGAAATGTGGAACTTGTCAATGTTCATTTTGAGTCATGAATCTTACTTAAAAGTGAACTCTGAACTAACTATTACGAAATCTTTTTACTGGTAAGAAACGCCTTCTGCTCTCCAGAGAAAGAACATTTTGAAATTAATACTTCCATATAAATTTGTTATATTACATCTTAGTTTGATCTTCACCAAGTGTGCATTTCAGAACTCCAAACTTCCAGGTCTTTTTAGTGACTCTGTATACATTTCTTGCAGCTGCACACATCCTGTGGTAGGTTTCCAGCACAAAAGGTTTCGTTTTGAATCATTTCCCTTCACTTTCTGTTTCCTATAATCTTAAAATGTAGTAATAGTAAACACTCCCATTCAGGCATGTGTTTTATGGACCATAGTTCTTTGTTATCCTGTAAAATGATGGATATTGTGCTTCAGAATCCAGTGACGTGCTCTTTTTACATGGATTAATTACAGGTGATTGCCTTTGGGTAAAGCCTAATATGTGTAAATGGCAAGAGAGCATACTTAACTTCAGATATTTCAAATCTCTTATAACAGTAACAATGTAAACAAAGCAGATCATTTCAATCAATATTTTAGTGTTTTCCTGCATTGTATTTTATTGTATTGTATGGACAAGGGACAACTTGATAAAATGTTTTCAACCTAACAAAATACTCAAAAAGAGAAGAAAGAGGAAAAAGAGTGACTGGCAAGATAAAACAATATAATAACATAATAAGGAGCTATCAAAACCATTAAATTCACATATATAATAGAGTAGAGTGGACAGAAAAAGCTAGGCAGCCGACTTTATCTATTCTCTGTCAGGGATTTTAGATTTTTATAAGTTTGCTAGAATTTTGCTAGAATTAATACTAATATTAAAACAGAGATTAATTAAATTGGTTATGTTTGTTTTTACTTTATTGATTGATTTAATTTGAATTCTGGAGGATTATCAAGCCTTAAAGACTTTTGAATTAATTTTTTTTCCTTTGTATTATCTCTATGTCTAAGCTATTAGTTAATTGGTTTCAATAGGGTCCGGGAAGTAATTGAACATCTTGTACACTTTCTTGGTAAACACAGCAAGTCACCATATAAGGGATTTCCTCTTTGCACCCCGAACCCGCGGTGTAATGTTCACATTCACCATTTGAGGATCAATAACACAACGTTTTTTGTTTTTTTGTTTTTTCAACCAATCAGAGGCACAGTTTTGACATGCTTGGTCTGTCAGGCAGCCAATCGCTGAGCGGCGTTGCACTGGGAGGGCGGGACTACATCTTTGTTCAGGAAGAAGGGTTGAAGTGAGGCGGGGATGAGAAATCATCATCATTTACCGTAGTTAGCTCGCTGCTAGCTGCCCGGAGCCGACTGCCGAGGTCCTGTGAGCGTACTGGCCGAAATCAGTACATTATTTTTACTTTCGACAGGCGCAACGATGACCCTCTGACACCAAGGATGGACATAAGTTAACAATGACGGGGGAGAAAAAGAAGAAAAAGCGGCTGAACCGCAGCATTCTTCTTGCAAAGAAAATTATAATAAAAGATGGAGGAAGTGTGAGTTAAATATTTATTTATCTTCGTTAACTCAGCTTCGCCCCCCTTTGAGCCACAGCTGAAGTTAGTTAGCCGGTTGGTGTGTTTGTTTAATTTAAAATAAAAAATAAAAAAAACGGGGGTTAGTCGTGGCGTCCTCGACGGTTGGCCCCAACGGTTAGAACGTTGACCGTTAGTCCGCCTCGCGAACTGTGCTAACGTTAGCTCTGAAGTAGCACAACGTTAGCGGGCCTACGTTTACACGTCAGCTCAGGTAACGCTAGCTGGCTGATGTCAACGCTAGCTGTGGGTTTTTTTTTCCCTTTTTATCTCACTAAAGGTAATTCAGGTACTCCCGATTGATGCCTTTATTTAACTTACACCAGCAGTTGGTTTTAACGCTGATGTTAACCGGGCCACCTCGTTGTTAAAACATCTTGTTGGAAATTACGTGTGACAGTGCATGCGGCTAGGTTACCATCAGTTAGCCCGCTAGCATATTGTGTTTAATTGGATATATTTGTGCCCTGCTGCAGTTCAACAAGATGCTGTGTTTATTTTCGCTTTAAGCCACCGTTTGTACCACCCGAGTTAAGTGTTTAAGAGACAAAGAAAGGTAACCTGTCAGACGACGTGAGACACCCTGAGTCGATAATGCGGTTTACAAATGGACGTTTCAACTCTGGGTTTGTTAACGTTGGTTGTAAACAAGCATCCACAGTCAGCTTACATGGACTGCTTTTAAACATAACATCCGCGGTGTAACTCAGCTTATAAATTACACGATGACTGTTCAGACTGTGTTGTTAATGATTGGTTGAAATGTCACCCAGAGGTTGTTGGTTGTTGGTTTTGTGTCACATTTACTCCTTTCTCTGTGTCACTGACACCTGTAGACCAGGTGTGATGATGCCCTCCTATAATGTGATATGATGCCCTTAAATGGAAACACAACAAACTTCCTCAATAGGCAGGTGAAACACTCAGCTCTCTATCATCACATCAGGTGTTGTAGTCATTTGGATCATGTAGTTGGTGGAAGTGATGATTGTCCCAAATTAGGCTGCTGGCAAAGAGCGAGTATGGTAGGATTGTTATAAATACAGTGAGGCATCAGTGCTGGTTATGTAATCAGTTGGACAGCAATGGCAAACATGCTGGATGTCCATATGAAGACACACACAGTTGTAATCACAGTGAAGAGAAGTAGAAACATGCCCCCCCCCCCAGTACGTACGGTCCTTAGTTTGTTGTTATTGCCTTACTGTATTACTGCGGCGAGGTCTGACCACTCAGCCATTAAGATTTCACTCTCCACATTCAGCCATAGCGTCTAATAGGCTTAGAAGATTAGTCAATAACAAAATTGTGAGCCATAGATGGTCATAATTTCATAGACGGGAAGTTGCAACATCCGTCCTATGAGACTGTTACAGATTGTTCCTCATTTTCTTAGTAAGACAGGTGGTGTGATCGTAGACTTGTCGTGGAACAAAAGTGGTGGGAGTTACCTCTGAATTGCTTCTTGCACCCTCGTCGGCCATACCCAGACCTATATACTGGTGTTCTGTGACGCGCATAGGGAAATTACAAACCACAGGAGCGAGACAACTAGCAGCAAGTGTCTTTAAGTTGGTCTTGGCCTCTTTTACAGTCTCCACAATTATCCCTCCTCGCTGTGTTTCCTACCACAGCTCAGCATCCATGTTCACTCTAGCACACTTTCTCTTCACCTTACAGACTTGTATAGATTTTACTGTGCTGCGGTGTAGTGACTTATTCTCCAGGGAGTGGGTTTTATGTACGTAAGAAGGATGTCTATTTGTGTTTTACTCATTACAAATAGAGGTCTGTATTTAGAGTGACCCAGGAAACTATAGCGCAGATTATTTTTGTTATTTTACCTGTTAGAATAAACCGTTTGGTTCCTGGCTGTGGAATTTAAATGAAGAAATGTTTGACTAAAGCATTTTTTAATGATGGATTTTAGATTTAATTTAAGTAATTTTGTGCCAGTAAATAGGCTACACAATCACAGATGACACTGTACCATAGATTAATGTGAAATTAAATGAGTCTTCTCTTGATTCACAGTCTGTGCATTTACTTGACTTACTTGTAATCAGAGTAAGGCAATATAACTAATACTGCAGATGTCACATAAACAGCTTAACCGCGTTGTCTCATTCACATTAATGTCGTAATTAGCGTAAGTACGACTGGATTAATAGACCCACACTGCTTGCCTGCTTTTAAATTAGTCTTGGTTTGTATGCAGCTTAGTCACTTTCTGTTTTGGGATTTTCGATTTTGTCCCTGCGCGGGCTCTCCGAGGCTCATCTTGTAGCGGTGGGTTGGAGAAAAAATAGCTTGTGGCAGGGGAAAAAATTAAACGGCTTAATTTTGGCAGCAGATAAACAGCTTTTTTAAAAAAAATTATAGTCAGTTATAGTTAGAAATAAAGTTCATCAGTGTAAAAAAATAACAGATGCCATATTAATGTTCTCGTGTCCTGTTCGTCTGCAGGATACAGCTATTTTTATTAGGCAACGTGTAAACTCAGTTTAAGGAATTTACCATGAATTAATCTTTTTATTTACAGCAATCAAATTAATTGCGTGGATTAGGGCTCCACAATAACGAAGTATATAACCATGTGCAATATTCAAATAGCAGAAGCTGCAATTTTTTGATACAGATAAAATGTAAGTACTGTAGTGCTGCCAGATGACCGGGCCTACAAATCTTGTTCTCTCGATGTTTGTGTGGTACGGACCCCAACAAATGTGACACGGTGTGAAAAAAAAAAAAAAAATCCCAGACTAATGAATCCTATCGCAATTATAATATATGTCAAAATTATTGATTAAATTAATGATATCATATATACCCCTAACGTAAATCCAGTGATTGTAGTGTATTGTGTCCAGTAAGCAGATTTCAGTAGTTACATGAAGGAAATATACATTTAAATTTCACTTAAAGGGAAAAAAAAAGGACAAGTCACAGTACTTCTAATAGGATTGGTTGCTTGTTTAATTCAGCATTCACTTCTGTATTGGCTAAGTCAAAATTCCTTGCAATTGGGTGAAAGAAATTACCCAACTACCAACCTTTCAACAGGATCAGGTGATGTAGAGTCCTTGTATCACTAGACAAATGATGCCTTGAAATAGATTCCAGCTTAAGGTTGGATCAGTTAATGTGTTACCATTAACACGCACTTTGAAGCACGCTAAAATGTTTGTAGCCTGTTCGCTGATCACCTCTCTATTTGTATGTGTTTCTCTCTGTCTCCCTCCAGCCTCAGGGAATCGGTGAGCCCAGTGTTTACCACGCTGTGGTGGTCATCTTCCTGGAGTTTTTTGCATGGGGTCTCCTTACCACCCCGATGCTCACGGTAAGCCAGGATTTACACACACACACACACACAGACGCACTGTTTTGTAAACTGGCATAACGGTTTGCAATGTATTCATACGCCTACACCTCTGTTTTCTGGAAATGTTGCCAAAGAGTGGCCTTTTCCCATTGACTGGAATCACACAAGGCCCATCAGTGTCCATAAATGATTGAATTCCTAATCAAATGAGCGAGGCCCTGTGTGACGCAGTTTTGTTTTTTTGTGTGCATGTGTTGGCAGATGTTTTGCCAAGCGCTAATGGACTGAGAAATATGAAAAGGGCATCAAACAATTGTATTGTCTAAGCACCAGTTCTTTGTTGGAAAGGCTTATCAGGGGGGTTACTGGTTTGTTTTGTTGTCAGGCCACAGCACAGATGCCTGCCCCGGTGCACCGCGGTGTAGCGTGGTCTGCTACTGGCAACTCAAACAGCGTTATTTAGTAGATTTCCAGAAGGCAACCTGTGTTTCTGAAAAATTCTGGCACCACAAAATTACAGGTCAATAATTAAAAAAACACAGATGATCATTTCCTCAAAAAACAGATCTAATTTGTAAGCAAAGTGCTAAGATGACTCATAATGATGATGTGCTTCATTTCATACCAGCAGGGATCATGTATTAATAGTTTTTTCCTTTAGCTTTCAATAGTTCAGCCAAGCTCTGTATTCATTCAGTTCCTGTCTGTTTTTTTATGTGTTTTCTCTACCTACGTAAATTACTTTGGGTAGAAACTAGTATCCCAAACAAATGATGAGCAAACATCTGTGAGCCACATGATGTAAACCAGACAGGCTTATGCAATGCATGCTTTTCAGCAGTCTCTTGTTTGAAGAGGTGGTTGTGTGTGTAACTGTTAAGCATTAATTACTGGGGGTTTGTTGCCCTCAAGATCCTGGGGCGGAGGCAGGATTTGCATTTTGGACTAATCAGAGGGCGCCTGAAGATGAGAGGGACTGCTTCACTGCTCCCAATGAGCGCACTGCTTCATTAGTATCCAGCAGCAACAGTCTTCACTGAGCATTCACAGGCTGTATGTGTTGGGTAACTGACTCCCAGAGGAAGAGAAGGGATTCTTAGCCATGCCATGAGCTTTCCCTCCATACCCCTAAACAATAACTAGATCCTGTTGTTCAGTCTTTGTCAAGCTCCACGTGCCCTAAATTAAACTGAAGTTTCATGTTCCCACACCAGTGTCAATGACACTTGCACTCCGTACTTGCTACTTACGGGCGTTATGGACTTTGAACTGAACATCCCTTGGATTTTAACTGTGCGAACACTCCTTTCACCTACATTTCCACAAAGATAAAGTATTTTAGGAATACTGTGTCTGGCTGTATCCAGAAATACTTTAAGGCGGTTCTTTTTTATTTGTGGGACAGCGGCAGTAAACCAAGCATGCTCAAAAATAGAAAGCTTCTCCAAATCGTTATTTATTGTTATTTATTAAAGGCATCAATACACAAAGTAAACCTTTTTATGTTAATCAAAGTATTGTTGAGGCCTCTGCGGGGTATAGACTCTCTGAGTCCTTCGTAGTCTGTAATGAAAGTTCGATAGCAGAGCAGTTTACCAGAAGTTTGTCATCTAAGAACCATCGAACGGATGTCACTGAAAGTCAAATGTAGTGACAGAGATTTCACAAAGAGATTAGATTATTGTGCTCCTCGATATTACACAACTTTTTTTTAACCCGGTCTCACAATCATATTCACTAAAAGTAAAAATTCTCACCCTTAACAGAGCAAATGGAAACAGTTTGTAACAGGTAGTAGTTTTCATCCTGTCTATAAATAATCATGAATGTGACCTGTAGCCATGACAACACTTAGTACAGACCAAAAAGTGGAAACTGCAAACCACAACTGGAACTGGAAACTATTGAGGTCAAACCAACTAACCAAACTGCTCAAACAAGTGAGCCAGGTATAAACAAAACTTATTCTGTACAAATGTGTTTACAATACAAACTCAGATTTGACAATGCTAACCTTTTTTTTTTTTTTAAAAGGTTGATTTATGGCTAAAGTGCATTAAACAGGATTTAGCGCTCACTTAAGGAACGACAATACTTTTTCTCTGCCGGGTGATCCTACCAGCAATGAATTTGTATGAATGCCTAAATCTCTATTTACAGGTGTAGACCAGCATACCAATGAGGCACAATCGAAATTCAAACATCTGGTAATCCTTTGAATGTGTGGGGGGCAACAATTTGGAACAACTTACCAGATAAAGTCAGATGTTCAGAATCTAGTACATTTAGTAAAAACAAGTTTAAAAACATTTTATGAAATGGAAAGACGAGAGATGAGTCAGTGTATTAAGTATTTTCGTAAATATGTACAGTTTGTATAAGGAGTAATTCTGCTATCAGTAATATAGTAGGAGCACAGCCTTCTGGTGTGTTATGATTTGGGTCACCCTGGGCCACTATGGAAATAAGCTATTTTAACTTTTAGTGTTTTTATCTGTCATGTTTAAATTTGATGCATAACACTTTGTCTGTTTTGTGTGATATTACAGTTTCATTTTGTTGTTCTGCATGTCTGTGTTTTTGGTTTGTCATTGATTTGAATCAGTGTGTTTTTGTTGGTGTTTTCCTGCCAAACCAGTTTAATGATCCTCAACGTGACGGTCAAAGTCCTGTAGAAAGTGTCCGAAAACACACACGTAAAAGATAGAATATTTATGTTTTAATGTTGATGTGTGCAATATTCTGTTTTATTTCAGGGAAAATGTGCAACATGATTGGATTCATGGTTTTATTTTTTTAATTGTAGCCCTCCCTCATTTGGTACATTTTCTGGATCTCCCGTGGCGTCACAGTTCTCTAGCTTAGTATAAGTTTAACTTTGGAAAGTACATAAACCACTGTACGTCACTGTTTGTAATGTGATGCAGGTTATGTGGATAACATGGTTTCATCTGGTGTTATCTGTGTTTGTTCTCCAGGTATTACACCAGACATTCCCCCAACACACATTCCTGATGAATGGTCTTATTCATGGTGTCAAGGTAAGACATCAGTAAACACAAACACAATAGCTTGGTTCTAAACAACATCAATATAACGGTGAGACACACAGACTGACAACAACGGCACGTAACGCCATACATTAATGTGCTTTTTGTGTTTTTAAGTACTACAGCTGCTGTTAAGTAACATCCTTCTTCAGCACTGCAAGTTTGTCTTGCTTTTGGAAGATTTGCTGAACATGTGCGCTCTTGTTCAGCGGTGCTCTGTTTGACACTCAGTGACATGTTAACACCTGCAAGCTGTCCAGCAACCATAGCAGGTTCCCCAGATGGCCACAGAATAGCTCGTGGAAGCACCGTCGAGGGTGAAGTGCCTCAAGTGCACATTGACGGTCTTAATTCAAGGAAAGAAAGTGTCTAAAGATAGTTACACCAGAGGACATGCTAGTAATTATTTTAGATTTTCTTGTCGTTATGGCTGTTGTGATGTCCACAGAAAACATTTGTTATTCTCTGTTTGAGAAATAATCACCCCGAAACTAAATTGAGTTGACAAATCTATTATTGTCCACCATAAACCACTTATGACAGTCTGTCAAACATAATGGATTGATTGATTGTTTTGGCAAGACAAAAAAGAAACGAATGCAAACAAATGTTTTCATGATGACAAAAATTAACCATTATTAAGTATTAACCATATTTTAGATTAAATAATTGACTGTTATTAGCAAGATGAGACAGTTTTAAAGATTGTCTATGTGCTCAGGCTCTTCTCTTCAGCATGTGTCAATCAGTATGTCCCCCACTTCAAACCAGACCGCACACCAGCAGGCCTTAGGTGCTTTGTTATTGTCTTGTTTTCTCTGGCTTCATGTCTTTATTTAGAGCAGGAAAACCCTTTCTTTCCAGCCTGCGAGCTACAACAGCTCAGTGATACCAGACTTCACAGTCCATATAGAGGACTTTAAATTGTCTAACCCTAAATAATAGAAATAATTGTAAACATTGTGGCTGCCTTTGTGCCAGAATGACTATGTAAAGTACAGACTAAAGCTATGTTGGCGTGTTTGGTGTTAAGTTTCCACTGGAGAGTTGGCTGTAAGGACAGTTTCATGTATAGATTATACTTACATTTTGTACATTGCCCTCTACCAAATATGCAAGTTTAAAAAAGGTCTTTGTTGTTGTATCAAAGTCCCTGCGAATTTATGAGTGGTAACTTCACTCAAGTTATCCATTTACAGCACTTTTCTGATACATCCACCCCACTCTCTGTTTCTCTATACTTTCCAGGGCCTATTATCATTTCTCAGTGCTCCCCTGATTGGAGCATTGTCAGACGTATGGGGACGCAAGTCATTCTTGCTGCTTACGGTCTTCTTCACGTGTGCGCCCATTCCACTGATGAAGATCAGCCCATGGTGAGTGCAAACACAGACAGCTATATAAACTTATTCAGCCTTGTTTTAAGGGAGAAGGTGAAGTCTTGTCCTGTGCTGGCTGAAATACACTATAATGCAATCTAATACAAAAATAGAATAAACTGGCCTATTTAACAACAATTTAAACTTCACAGAAGTAGGCTTTACAGTGTAAAATGGTTTAGTATCCAGTAGCCTGTGCTGACAAGCTAAACTCCTTCCTTCTTTCAGGTGGTACTTTGCAGTCATCTCCATGTCCGGCGTCTTTGCCGTCACCTTCTCTGTGATCTTTGCCTATGTGGCGGATATCACGCAGGAGCATGAGAGGAGCACAGCATACGGTTTGGTAAGGAGATAGTTCACCAAGACAGAATCCTCTTAAAATGTTTGTCTTTAAACACCTCCAGAATGATTATGTAATCCATGGAGGATTTATCCGTTAAGAATCATGCTTGTATTCAGCTTCACACAAAAAGATAACAAAGAAAGATCAATCCCTTCTCATTTTGCTCTGCTTCTCCTTCCCTCCAGGTATCAGCCACATTTGCAGCCAGCCTGGTTACCAGCCCGGCCATCGGCGCCTACCTATCTGTAGCCTATGGTGACACCTTGGTGGTGATCCTGGCCACAGCCATTGCCCTGCTCGACATCTGCTTCATCTTGGTGGCTGTACCAGAATCATTGCCAGAGAAGATGAGGCCAGCATCATGGGGAGCACCCATCTCCTGGGAACAGGCAGACCCTTTCGCTGTGAGTAACAACATAATACATAATGATAATTACTAGTCAATTACTCAATTGCACAGTTTTTCAACCAACCAGCAGGTGACTGCAGTGAGTTTTATCTGCTTTTTTATTTGAATAAAACAAGCTATCTAGTTGAAGCTTTTACTTCATAGTGAAATGGATCTATGTAATTGAATGTGTTTCCGTCAAAGAGCCTCTTGCTGGGAAGGCACTTGATAATGCTGCAAACTGTGTGCAAGGGAAGGTAGCAGTCAAATTCTTAACATATTGTTTCATTCAGTCATTAATTCTTGTATAGCTACACAATGATGCATAACCAGATTCCCTTATTATAAATAAATAGGTTTTTTTATAAGTGAATAATGCTGTACCATTAGGGATGACTTAAGGAAAGGCAACTGTAGTTTATCTTTAGTTTTGTTTGTTATGGTAGCATTTGTGTGTCTGTCAGTCTGTGTGTGTCGATCTGTTCAGATTTGGGTCCTCCTTGCTGTCTGCATTTTGCATATTTGGCAGGAAAATTGGATTTACATGAAAAAAGCAACTTATCACAAGGCTGTAAAGCAGTGTTCTGCAGCCCTCTCTGGCTGAGAGTTTCAAGCCTTTCACGTCTGACCACACCCAGCTTCCCTGATAGTAGCTCAGGTAGAGTGTGGGCCCCCCCTAAGGCTTTGGACTGGGCTCTCTGTCTCTGTACCTGTAACCTGTAACCACACCCAACAGGGTCCTGGAGTGTACCGTTACACTGCAGGAAGGTGAAAAGTTAACTATTGGAGGACAGATAGTCAGGGTGTGATTAAGTTCACAGTTTTCAAATCTGCTTTAAAAACTACAGTCAGGTACCCAGACAGTATGTACACTGAATACTTCCTATTCATATTGATCATTAAAAGATGCCTTCATAATTTGCTTCCAATGTAATTGATGGGAGGGCAAATCTCGTCTTATGTTTTAAAAAATATACCAAACTTTATCTTAAGATAATAGTCAGCAGTCTGATTGTGATAAATCAAGTTACAGCCTTTTTAGGACACATTTCCCTCTTGCGACTGTCCTTCCATGACAGCTCAGCACAGTTACACCATCCAGAGAAAGTGAAAGACACTAACATGATTGACTGCTCTCATTAACTTCAGATAAACTTTGCAATCATTCACAGAATGAGGACTGTGGATTTTGTTCCTCGTCTCTTCAGTTGGATACATGTTAAGTTTTTTAATGGCTAGTATGGACAAGAGGAAGGCTTACAGGAAGCAACAAAACCTGTTCCACTGTACACATGGGCATGTGAATGTTGTGTTTCATGGCAGATTTAAAGAAATGTGAACCTATCCTTCATATCAGTACCACCTGTATGTGTGTAGAATATATGCAAATTAAAACTTTCTTTCATAACCTCATCAGCATGAAAATATTCATTGTGATTATGTCAGGACATTGGGCAGCAGCGGTGTCTTTTATTACTTAAAGCTTATTAAATTGTCAGATACTGGTGAGTCAACATGTATAAAATGCCGCTGACTTTGCACATGTTTTAAAATATTTAGCTTTGCAACAAGTTAAATCATTTCTTGCTGTTCTTTTGGCCAGTCTCTGCGTAAGGTGGGCCAGGACTCCACGGTGCTCCTCATCTGCATCACAGTGTTTCTCTCCTACCTCCCCGAGGCCGGCCAGTACTCCAGTTTCTTCCTCTATCTCAAACAGGTAACACTTTGTTCTCCCTGCTCAAACATTAATGACTGGATTATACACACACATGACATTCAGGCACATCATGTACACTTAGTAACACATGTAATAGCACCTACTCATCCAAGTTAAGTTAATAGTTACTTATTAATAATAACTATTAAATAGTTATTTAAGGATTCTTTTTCACAGTCAACACAGCAGCAGCATTAGACAAATGTTTGTGGAGTGTAAAAAGGATTAAAAATATTCTTAATATGTGGAATCTACAAGTTATTTACGTGAAGTTGTGGTTTGTTAAGAAGGACAATACAATTTTGTATAAATTTCAGTATGTTGTGTAGGCATGGGACAAAATTAAATGTTGGTAATATTGTATATCGTCTCATCCCTAATGTTGTGTGTCTCCAGGGCTCTGCAATATGGAACAAATATCAGTAATTCATTTATTAAAATCGATATTTGTCACAGTATATAATTCGATAATGCTGCCATTTTGAAGAGTATCCTGATAAAGACTAAAGGCTGAAGAAACCAGAGGGTACAGTAGTTACATCTAAGAGTAACCTGTATTAAACCTATCATAAAAAAAATAATAATAACAGTGTAAACACTTAAATGTGCAAACATGACTTGGTTTAGAATATATTACATCTAAATGTTAACCTTTAACTTTGCAAACATGCTTTATCTGCCTTAATAAAACAATACAAATTAGCTTGTAACTTATTAAGGTAATGGTGTGGTCTCTGGGATTGTACCTTTTTTAGATGATGGTCCAAACAGCTTTCATATCATTGAAGTCGTGTTACCTTTTCTCGTCAACACTGTCCTCAGCTATGGAGGATAAAGCAAGCGCACTTATAACGAGCTCCATATGGCTGTGTAAAACAGACCGGGTGTGTTTTAAGACCGGGCAGCAAGTTACTGTGAGCAGTGGCCCAGGTTTATGTTCTGCTTGTTCAACAGTTGTTTGATAAATTGATCATGCTGTCTCCCCTTTGTTGCACTTAAGGATAATGAGCATTGTCGATGTTGACTCGAGTAAAATAGATCCTTGAGTCTGTTTCATTCCCTCCACTTTGGGCTCTGCTCTGAAGTTACACTGCGTGTGTGGAAGAGCTCAGGCCCGCCCTCGTGCAAACCACAGACGCAGAAAGGAAGAAGAAGTTGGTTTTGTGCCCCTCGGTTCCACTCATTTTCTTTCCCTAGAGGAACATCCACTTTCTTCACCGGTTGCTCAAACAATTCTTTGCATTTAGAAATGGGCATGTACTGTGACTCGCAAGCCAAAAAATGCAGACTGACTGGCTGTAAAAAGAAAAATGAACATTTTACACTCGATATGGAAAGACCTAACAGCCAGCAAGTCTGCAGCTTTTATCAAAGTTTATCATTGTTATCGACATACATTTTTTCATAATCCCATATTGAGGTCATTTTGTCCTCCAGCCGCTAACAGCATCATACTTTATCCATTTGTGCTCCTAATTAAAGGCTGGAATTACTACTGGAAAGCTCAGGGAATAATCTCAGTACAACTGGGGGAAAATTTGCCCAACACACAGTTTCACCTACATTGCTTTAAGATCAGCACGTTTGCTGAGCGGCCTATTTCAGAATGTCTCTGCAAAATGCTAACGCAGGAAACCTAATGTATTTTAAAACACAAGCAGACAGAAATGGACAGCTTCAGCTGTTATGCACTCGCACAGTAACATCTGGAAGCAGTTGGCAGCTTCGACATAAAATGACAAGGCGTAATCTCCTTTCTCAAAGTGCTTGAGGAGGCAAATGAAGATTGTTTAGTTGGTGTAAACAGTGTCAGATGAACCAGTCGGGCAAGTCTGGCACTCACACACACGTCTCATGCCTCTCTGCGACCAGCTTGAAAAAGACAGCAAAGTAGGTCTGGAGAGTCGGGGCTCACATTATTCTATACGCCTTCCTCTCTCCTTTTATGCAGAAGTTACTTTATCATATATCTCTCCACCTTTATTGTTATAAATTACACACACCTTGCACCAGCTGCTCTACTCCTGATGCTGCATATTTGACCCAAATACACCAGAGAAAACAAGAGGAGTTAAAAGATAAGCACTTTTCGTTGCTTTAAGGTGTAGTAGTAAACAGTATGTGTTTACAAAAGGCCACAAACAAAACCCCTTCTTCTTTTGTGCTTGGTAAAAAATGGGTGAAGGCTTTTTGTTTGAGATACGGGTTTGTCTCTGACTGTGCTTGTCATGTCCTGACCTGTGTTATCTCTCTCTCACCCTCAGGTCATAGGCTTCACTTCAGAGACAGTTGCTGCCTTTATTGCTGTGGTGGGGATCCTCTCAATACTAGCTCAGGTACTGAAAAAATACCCTTTTAGTATTGTTTTATTGTTGTGTTTTGTCTATAAAATGACAGAAATTAGTGAGAAATGTCTTTCTTTATTTCCCAGAGCCCAAGTTGGCCACTTGAAGTTCAAGTCAAATTGTATTTGTATATGCCAAAATCACAAATTTGCATCAAAGTGCTCTACAATCTGTACAACATGCCACACCCTTTGATCCTTAGATCCACTGTTTGGATAAGGGGAAAAAAACAGGGACAAAAGGAAGAAACTTCAAGAAGAGCAACAGAGCATTGATCCTTCTTCCAGGATGGACAAACACGCAATTACATTTGTTAGCAGAGTAGTTAAAAGTAACAATAGGGTCTTCACATTTTTTTCTTTTGGCCAGAAAAACTGCCTACAACCCAAAGTTATTCAGTTAACTATCAGAGGACAGAAAAGTAGCAATTCTTAACATTTGAGGGAGTGGAACTAGTGAAACAATTACATTTGGTTTAAATATGGTTGCAGATACATTTTCTGTCTGTTGATTAATCAACAAATTGTTTCAGATCCATGTCAGAGTCAAAATTTAAGAGCAATATGACCATTTCTAAAACTTTGCCACAATGTTTAATGCCTCCTTAGAGCTGTCTTATGACCTGTGTGCTGTGTTTTTTGCAGACGGTGGTGTTGGGGATCCTGATGCGTTCTATAGGGAATAAGAACACAATCCTGCTTGGCCTCGGCTTCCAGATCCTCCAGCTGGCGTGGTACGGCTTTGGCTCTCAGCCCTGGTCAGTAACCTCCACACCTTGTTTCTTACACACATACACACACCTTACCCCACACACCAGGAACCAGAGGTGGATTAAGAAATGTGCTTTTCAATTCCACTTATTGATTCCTGCAAGAAGTTTGGACCTTCCGTGCTTTACTTGTTATCACTTGTCATTAGCTCAGGTTCAAATATAATGATCATATAATTCAAGCAAGCAAGGAAGGAAGCAGGTTTGGTTAACATGACTTATCATTTCCTGCAGCATGGTGCAAAACCACAGTCGTAGTCTCAGTGCTTCTGAATTACTTAATAGTGGCTCATTCAACCCCAGTAAAACGGCAAATAATTAACTTGTTTAATTTAACTTCTTCATTTAATCTTTCAAGTCAAATGAATCACAAAATACTGAGACATTTATGACAAATGTTCATAATGTACTCATAATGTGCTTTTAGTCTACTAGTTTGTTTCACTTAATAACTCAAATAATATTCAAAGAAGCTGAATTATGGCCAGATAACAACCAGAATCTATAGTCAAAATAAATAAAATCTAAATGATACCCCCATACCCAGTGAACACCACACACATACAGGCACTATTGTCTTTGTCTTCTCTTTTTTTACCTTTTTAGAATTTCTTGTTGTTGTAATGCATTGATAAACCACCAGAGGGGAGTAGAGCCTTATTCTATAGCACTGTCACCAGATAGGCTGTGACACTGTAATCTGATAACTAAGACTCAGGCACCAATGTATTGTTGTAACTAGATTTTGTTTGACTAATGTAAATGCTAAAATGATTTCTTGAGAGCTTTCAGAACATATACAGAGGCATTTTACTGTCATGGAAATCACAGTTTGAGATTAAGTGCTTTTCAAAACATGTACAAACAAGTACAACTTGTGTTCATTCACTTTGCACCTGTAAATTTGAAGAAAGGTGTAAACAACCACCGCCATATACACAGCTCTCACTATCAGTTTACGGTAGGTCATAACCAGTTTCTCTTGTTGTTTTTGCCTGGAGGGGGAAGGTAGGCCGAGCATAATATCTATTGATTTGAAAGAAAACATTCACAACATGTCTCCTTGTTGCTTCTCACTGCTTTGGTCAATACCCAGGAAATTAAGTTAAATAAAGGTCAAGTTGGCCTTATTATCGGGGAGCCCTATAGCTCTCCTGGTAGAGCTGGTGCCCCATGTACCAAAAGACTGAGTCCTTGCTACAGCAGCCATGGGTTTGAGTCCCACCTGTGTCCCTTTGCTGTGTGTCAACCCCTCTCTTTCCCCCCTCTTTCCTGTCAACCTTCAGCTGGTCCTATCTAATAAAGGCAAAAAGCCTAACAAAAAAATTAAATTGGCCTTATTATATATTGAGATTAGTGTCTTTATCATGTTCACTAAAAAACAAACCGTATCGATTGTATCTCAGTGCTTCATCTGTTATAGTACAGGTTGGTTTTTTAAAAATCTTTGTTTGTAAAATAACAATATATCGATTATTTCAGAAAACAATGCATTTGTGGACGTGTGTCAGTGCAGGGCTGTTCTGAAACGTCATCACCCTTAGTACCTACCTCATACACAGTACTTGAGTAAATGTACTTTCCACTACTGGAACTGGCAAAACACTGGTTTGAACTGTGAACATGATTTCTTCTTGATAAACACGTTAAAGCTCAAACAATGATTTAATAATTGCTTTTAATTGCAGTATAAATGTATCCATACATTTAAGAACTGAAATTTAGAAGTTTCTTAACTTGCTAAACAGATCTCAGGAACAGGCTGGCAAAATGTCCATTTCATGATGCCATGGTGACATTTTTCTCTAAGCAAAGGAGGATAAAGTGCAGCAATGAATGTGTTTATGATGTGCTAATGTTTTGTTAAGTTCGAAGGTTACACAGGTTTTATGCGATCCTCTCTTTGTCATAACTTTCCTGAATAAATATATGTTTTATAGCTGCAGTTTGGTTTTAGTCTTAACAACCTTTAACTCTCATTCAAGTACATGTACCAATCCAATTTTTGAAAGGTTAAATAGCATTTATTTCTATTTGTATCCTTAACAAGTGTGTGTTGTTGGTTACAGGATGATGTGGGCTGCTGGAGCTGTTGCAGCCATGTCCAGCATCACCTTCCCTGCCATCAGCGCCATCGTGTCCCGTAACGCCGACCCCGACCAACAAGGTAACTGTCTCAAAAGCATCTCTCACCTTGTTTAATGAAGTATGTCATAAAATGGATGTCTTTCTTCTAGCTAGACAAGATATTTGACACGTTCAGGCATGTTGTGTGCTTTGCTGTGTATATGCCAATAAGAAAATCTGTCTGCCTAAAGGTGTTGTCCAGGGAATGATTACTGGGATCCGGGGCCTCTGTAACGGTTTGGGCCCTGCTCTCTACGGTTTCGTCTTCTACTTGTTCCACGTGGAGCTGACCGACACAGACAGCTCTGGGAAAGGTGCAAAGTCCAACATGGCCAACCCCACTGATGAGGTGAGCATGAATGAAAATGTACGCAAGTTGCACAATACATATAAGATGGTAGGTGTACTTAAAGTATTTCTCCTGTCATCTCTTCAGAGTGCCATTATTCCCGGTCCTCCCTTCCTGTTTGGTGCATGCTCAGTGCTGCTGTCTCTGCTGGTGGCCCTGTTTATCCCGGAGCACACGGGGCCCGGCATGAGGCCTGGCGCCTATAAGAAGCACAGCAACGGGGCACAGAGTCACTCCCACAGCCCTCAAGGCAGCGGGGCCGAGGGCAAGGAGCCGCTGCTGGAGGACAGCAGTGTATAACCTCAGCTAAGGGGGGCAGACACCCTTGCTCCATCCCAACATCCCCCCCGCACATATGGACAGATAACACACATTTTACCACATGGACACACTCTCACCTCAAGCACACATCAGACTTAAGTGCTATGAAGAGGTGTTTGTGTCCACAGCACAAATGTGGGCACTCCTTCCTAAGCAGTCCTTTTTCCTTTTTTAAAGCAGGGTATTGTGAGGACTCTCTAAAGACCCTGTGTAAGGAGAGTGTCTTGAGTATTTTTCAGGCTGCAGTGGAACGGTGTGTGTGACTTGGCTGCACTGGACTCTAATCCTTGATTTCTATAAAGCAGTAACAGAGTGGAGTACACAACAGCAACACCTGGTGCAAAACAGAAGTGATTTGGTTTAGAGTGTGAGTGGTGTATATCTCAAATGCTACTAAATCCCTGTGTGATTCTTCATATTCCTATGTAGCCAGTGAAGTGGCAACGTTGTCTGTTTGTCCAACAAGAGTGTAACAAACAGATAGTTGAGCACTTGTCTAGTGGTCTTTCACAAGCTAACATCTGTTCGGATGCTTTTCGTTGGGACTGCAGCTCTGTGAAAGAAGAAGGGAACACAGTTCTTCCTCTGTATGCTCGGCGGGGAAGCACAGCAACTGTATACCTGTGCGGGGAGTCGTTGCAGACCAGTGTTGGAGAGGCGCTGCCTAATCTAGGTTAAGATGGGTCAAACAGTTCCGATATTTAAAAAGGAGGAAAAAAAAAGAAAAAAGCTTCATAAGACCACACTTTGTTTAAACATCACACTTCTTACAGAGAGAAGTGTGAGAGAGAGAGAGACCACTTTATTAGCGGTAACTGTTTTTCAATGTTTACTTGCCATTCTCTAGATATGTAGTACAGTTTGGGTTGTATATTTTTCTCTGTTCAAACTGAAGGCTAGTTGTGCTTCAAATTCTTATTCAACAAACAAATGTTGCCTCGAAGTGACTTAATATATATATGTACATATATATATTAATTACGTAACCTGTATGAAGACCGAGGTCTGAGAAGGCTCTGTAATCTTACGCTATCGCTCCCATCGGAGCAGTTACACATTTTTTTTTATTCCTTTTTTGTTTTCATGCCCTTCCTGTTGCTTTGTTTCCTGACATTTATCACCATCAGGGTTAAGGCTTACAGAACCATGGTTTTATTTTGAAAGCCTCTGGACCACTCGGAGCTAGAGCGTTGCTATCAGCATGTCAGTGTTGGCACTGACTGTTAATACGGAGTCTTTGAATTAATATCATTAGGTTAAACAGAATATCACTCGTGCTGCTGCAGTAGATAATTCAAAGTAAGTGTGATGTAATGTTGTGGATGAATATTTCTACAGTGGTAATTGGATATGAACTCTGAAACGGTTTCACTGAATCCTTGATATTTAAGCTTCCAGTACAGTTATTAACAGGCACGGCACATTTCTCAAACAGTAACCAACAACAGATGGTAGAAATCTTAGATGTGAAGCACCTCATGGAACTGGCTTGTAACTCACAAACTCACATTTTACAGATTCTCCACAAGGGGAAGCTGTTTGCTCATTGTCAGACTCCTTCTATACATGCCAACCTGCGCCACCTGAAGGAACAAGGGTAGCTGCAACAGTAGTTCAGATGTGTGTCGCCTCCTACAGGCAAGGAAGGTAAAAAGCTGCTCCCATTTTTAGTAGATTTTCTTGTAAAAGCTGATATATTTGGGTGTTTAAAGTTTTACATTTTCCACAAACAACTGTTAGCTACGATAAAGTAAACACATCGCATCACTGAGTGTCACTCAAAGTTCAAGATTCAAGTCATTAATTTATAAAAACATGTCCTTATCAACCAGTGCTGACTACCAAAGCATAGAAAGTAAATGTCCATTAAAAAAAAGAAACTACCTTCCAGTGGATATTAAATATTGAAATTAATTGATTTAAGTAACCAGCATGGTGCTTGAGGTCAGAAATGACATGATGACATTGAGAGCATTGTGAAATATGGTCCAGTTAACTAATTCAATGTTAAACCTCAACATGCAGACATACTACAAACAAAAAGCATTAAAACTGCAGCTTTGTTACACGTCTTTGCCTGTAGATGGTGCCCATCAGTGTGTCTCTCTGCAGGTCTAAATGCTGCTGTTACTTTTCTTGCCAATAGGTGGCGCTGGTTGAACATGAAATGCAGATCTGACACTGCTAATATGGACTGTGCCTGGTTTTGGGGCTCCGCATCAGTGACACTGTGTTCCCTTTACTGTGTTAGCAACTGGTCAATTACCCTTTTTTTTTGTGTGTGTGTGTAAATTTTAACAGTTAATTTATAAATGCCACAAGTGCATTTGGATAGCCAAATTACAACCTGATGGGGAAATAGTATCTAACAGTGAGTTTCATCTATCTGAAGAGAAATGTATGTCATATATTTTGTGCCAAATTTGTTTTCTTTTGTTTGCTATTTCATACTGTGTGTGTATATGTGTGCTTGTGCACTTGAGTGATTTGGATTATTTTCTTTTTCTCTTGTCTTAATTTCTTTGGTTGAAGATTTAAGTTTTAATGCTATTTTTTTTATATATATATAGCTTTTTAAATCTTCATTTAGGAATCTTTTCAATATTGTGGCTAGATGGTAAATTATCGAATGTCCATCTGTCTGTTTTTCAGTCTCGGTCTTCATTTGATAACAAGCATTTCACCGCGGTTAGTTGCATTTGATAAGCTTATTTTTCTCCCAGATTTATCAGTAGATCATAACAAAAGTCACTGAATGTTCCAAGCCAAGCTGTACATGTTGACCACACTATATCCTCAACATTTTTGACTTAACCTGTCATAGTTTGTTTTTTTATTATTATTTCAGAGGGGGTGTTACTAGACAGGGGGCCATTGGTGTTGATTTAAACTCTAAATATCACACAGTTTCTTTTTTTATTTTTCATTTATTGGACCAACACATTGGTAAACCCATAAATTCAGATCCTACTTAAATTGGTAAGATTCTGCACCAGCCCCATGTGCACTCGTACAACTTTCAAGCAGACGACTGTAAATGTACGAAAATCACCTGTACGTACAGCAAATGTATATATTTATTGCTCAAGGAGACGGCCGCCTCTTGGTCTATTTGGTTGTATGGTGCAATTATTATTATTATATATTTCTCAAGACTTACCTGCTAGCCACTCCTGTTTTTAGTACGACGTGGTTTGTGGCCTGAACCCCCTCTCTGTGTGCCTAAAATTAGCCAAGAAATGAGTATGGCAACATAAGTAAATGGTGGTTATTATGTAAATATGGGAAACTAATGACAAACTATTTATTAAAGGTTTATTGTACAATGAAATGTTTGAGTTTGCCTCTGTGTGTGTGTGTGTTTCTGTTTCGTTTCACCTTTTATGCCAAAGCTAATTGAGTGATCAGGATGTTTCTCTCTGCAAGATATTAACTAATAATTCCTCCTCGTTTTATATTTAAAACAAGGATCCTGATGTTTTCCTAATGCCAGACTTTCTGTTTAATGTTCTAACTTTGTTCGTTGTTTGTTTAGTAATCCTGCAGCTCAGAGTTTTATTGCGGCTCTAATGCTTTCCCTCCACCTACACACTTTATATACTCAACTGGTATTAATGCACAGACTTAAGCTCATTTGTTTTCTACAGTCTGAGCCTTTCTTTATTAAAGCCACATGGAGGCAGTAGTAGAGTCTGGCAGAAACACGCCCCCCCGAGTGTTCACTGTAACACAAAAGTTGGTTTCTGTCCAAATATCGAGTAATTCCATTTTTTTATTATTAAAAGCAGCGTGTAATATCTGTAATGTGTAAGGGAAAGACGTGTTCCTCAGTAATAGTTCTGTATTATTTTTATGGGAAATAAATATATTAATGTGTGAATGCTCTGAACTAACAAGGTGTTCATGTGCCCAAAATGTAATGTAATATGAGAAGTGTGATGGACGGTTGGTTATTGATCCTATTCACAATAGTATCAGTAATAGAGATACTTTGGGCACCAGCATGTAATACAACCCACAACCACAAATATGCATCATAAACCTTTACTTGTATATCAGGACTTATATTAAATAGACTTGTATTTATAGACTATTACTTGTTGATTGAAATGATGTTAATGAGGGTGAACTATGGACTGATTTTAAAAGGAGGAAGGAGTCTCTATAAATCCCGGTACATTACTTGCTGCCGTCGCACTTTTCACTTGTGCTAACATGATCTTACATGATGATTGATGGTGCTTTCACATCACCCTCACTCTCGCCTTTGAGAGATTAGCCTACCTCGATAAACGATGAAGACCTGTCAGCCAGTGTCTCTATAATGGGACATTTACCTCCACATTTACAGTGCAATCTCTCTGCGTGCCATGAGCTGACTGACTTCCATCTGCAGGAATATGATGATGTAGGCAAAGTGTCCACGTGGAGCAGCAGGTGTTCTGTGGTCTTAACCTCGGATAGAGGAGATAATAATAAGACTCTTAACTGTAATCCATGCTCATTGTTTCTTGATGAGCCCTCTAACAGCACTGAGGCACAGAGGTGGATTTAGTTACGATGCACTCATCAGCACAATGGGGGTCTCTTATCACCAACTACTGTACATACTGCGTGGAAATCCAGTGGATAGTGTAAGAAAGATGACCACCTTGTGTTAAAGCGCACTTTGATTTTAGTTTCCTCTGTACTTGAAGGCTTGCAGACACATGTTTGACATAAAAAACATTTTTGTCTTGTGGTGCTGAAAGGAACGGGGGGGCGCTTTAACTTGCGGCCTCCAGTGCTTGTAGCTACACAACACATCAACAAACGGCAGGTTCCAGCTTTTCAGGAATTAGGGGCACACAGCCTTGTCAGGATTAACAGCTCTCTGGCAGGGAAAAGACTCAGGCATGTTTTAACAAGAGCAACTTCACTGAGCGCTTTAGAGAAGGTAGCTGCTCAGATCACTTCCAAGGCGTAAGTGAGCACAAGAGCCCCTCTAGTGTTTCCCCGCCAGCGTTTATTTGTCCTTGTGTTAGGGATGGAAAAGGGGGCCATGTGACTATTTGGGAGAGCTGCTGGAATGTATTGTGATGCAGAGTCGCTGTCATAGCACATTTACTTTCCAGGCTTCAATTAGGTGCATGAGAGTGGAAGAGTGCTTACATGTTTGAAAACTGGCCTCCAGGGCTTGGCTAGAGGCCATACACAGGCCACAGCACAGTGACTATAAATGTGAGTGTCCATTAACCTCAAGAGAGGGGCAGTGCATCCATCAAGCCCTGCCTCAAAACTTAAAGTATTGTCTTTGAAAACACTGTAAATGCCAGCAGGAAGAAATCTTTCTTTAGAGCTGTACACCTTGAGCCCCGCAGACGCACTGGGAAGGGGAAGTGGGGCCCAGTGGTGGATGTCCCACTCGGCCCTGACATACGGCAGCATCTTTTCCTGTGGTGGAGAAGTGTAGCGTACTGGCGTCTAGGAAGAGCCCGGGGATGAATCATGTGTGAACCTCATTGTTCTTCCAGTCAAATAGGTCTGTGTGAACCTGGGTTTGTCACTAACCTCTGCCACAATGCCTGCTTTTCCCATGTTCTATATGCAGATCGCCCCTTGTTTCCTCATACGACTTCCTAGCACATGCGGTTAACGATTACCTCAGGCGATAGGTGTGGGTCTCCGGGTACTGGACGTTTCACACACAAGGCCCCAGCGTTTTCCTCCAAGGCCAAAACGTCTTTGAATTTACCTCTCAGATATCTCCCACACCTCTTATAGATACTGTCAAAAAATAACCCCAGTATGTCACAGCGTGTTCATAATAACAGAGTGAGTCAGCCTTATCATGCTGAACCCTGACCCTGTTATTTTATGCTGTCACATCCAAACAGGGTGCTACATACATAAGGTAAAGGTTACGCGGTAATGTGTGGCTGTTGTTCATGCGGTGGCAGGCAGCACACACCTAAAGAGTGGCAGAAAGTGCAGCTTCAGACTTTTATGTAAGAGCACTTTAATCTCTCCCTGCAGTGAGCTGATCATTTCAAGCAGATTTATGTCATTACAGAGAGAGACAGCATAAACTAATACACCTGTGCTGTGAGTGACAGTTAAATTACCACAAGGTCTGAGTCTGAGGCTAGTTAACACAAATAACGTCTGCTCTATATTGCGCTGCTTTAAACTCCCTGTGAGACTCATTATAGCCTCTCGCCTGACTTTTAGCTACACCCAAGTCAAGGACTTTAGGGCAGCGGTTCATCACATTTTTCCTTAAGGGACTATCATTTAGTAAACTGATGACTAAGTGACATATTTTATGCATATTTTTCATTTTATATATTAAGAACAGTACAATTAACCCAAATAGTGAACTCAGTAACTGCAAGTAGTTTGTGTGAAATTTTTAGATTATTTCCTGCTTAGAACTTTTTAGCCAATTATCTGTAGTATGTAAAATAATAACATATAATAACAATCATACAGACTTAATAGGCTTCTTTTCTGACAAATTCATTGTTTTCTTGTCCATGTTTGGCCATTGTTCTATTAGACAATTCACTTTGCAATTTACTTTTCTTCACAGAAGTGAACCAAATGTTGAGATACAGTATCTACTGTGTATATTTTCATTTAGTTTTTTTTACACCCTTTAAGATCAAGAAGGCCTCATGACCATAACCCATCAAGCTTTCCCCAGGTGGGGAACCACGGCTTTAGGGTTACCACACCTGTAGCTCCAAAAGCTCTAAAATCAAACTTATATCCTCACAAACATCTGAATTTCTGTAGCCTATTTTTTTTATACATTTACATACAATTATGATGTCTTTTTTGCTTGTTTTACCTTATTGTTTTTGTTTTGTTGCACATTTACAAAGAAAACTTCTAATAAACCTGCAGTAGCAAATAGAAAATGGCCACTAGTTGCTGTGGAAAGTTGAGAATCTTGCAACTAAATACACAGCTGGAGGAGACCAAACCAGAACTAAAAATGCAGTGAATACTGGTTTAACATTTGTTAGGTGACCAGAAACACGACTTGGGATTATAATGTTGTTCTGTGTTTGTCAGATAAATAAGAATATATATGTTAGGGCTTGTTTTGGAGTTCTTCTGTCTCCAAGTGGCCACAAAATCAATAAAAAAATAAACATTTTCTTAACATATTTAATATGTAAATTATATTTAAACATGTCTGTGATTCAATATTCTAAACTCAAGGTTCATTTATTATCTTTTTCTGCAGCTTTCAACCATATCCTTCAGCCATTCTTCAGTAAACAGAACTTACTCAGGTGTAGTGGAGATCCAAGAACTAAATTTTAAACAAGTATTAAAACAGTTTAAATGTTTCTTATTTTCCGTTTAATACATTTTGTCATTTTTTGTTGTTGTTCTGCTATGTTTCTGTTGTCATGTCCGTTTTTTTCACATTTTCTTTTGCCCTCTAAACCACTTAAGAATCTGCTGCCAAGCAGTAACCTTTTTGATGCCTGTGCCAAATTCCTTGTCCTTTCCAGGACATCCATGTTTGCTTATTGTTCGTCTCCCGAGTTTAATTTCCTGACAACATGCTTTTTGACAGCCAACACGTAAATATTGGAAGATGGAGCTTCCTTGAAGGCACCACAAAGGAAGAGTTCCTGCTCCAAGCGACATTACCGCACAACATGACGTCGCTTTGACAGTAAAAACCAAATGGTTTAGGCAAGATTGAACATAAACTGTTTTAGTGGAATTTAATGGAAAACAATTCCTGCTGGAATAGATCTGCTTTGGAAACCAGTGATTTAAAGCATTCAGTGTGTAATTTGTTGAAGTGTTGATGGATGCAAGACCAAACTCCTTAACTACTTCTTTCTAATGTAGAGATGTAGTTTTTATTGGTTTACATTGAAGATCTATTAAAAGATTGTTGACACTTGGCTGAGCTCTGTAACCCATCACAGTAAACATCATTATTGATAAGTGGTGATGCAGTTTTAATGTAGATTGTTTCTAACAGCCTGCTCTGCATTAACAATTAACAATAATTTCACTGCGACAAAATAAACACAGACTGGATTTATTAAAATGTGGATTTATTTATTTATTTTTTATAACCACAAAGTCTTGAGATACAGTATCTTGAGCTTAAATGTATCATCTATCATCCATAAAAATGGATGGAAAGTGCTCCTATCCAATCAACCAGCTCTGGTTAACAAAATGTAATAAATAAATAAAACTACATTAAAAACAACTGTTCTGTTGAAACAACAAATTAAATGAACACAACAAATTAAATCTAAATCAATCAAAGTGTGTGTTTTCTTTCCTGGGATAAAAATAACCTTCAATGAA